GTTTTATATAAAGGCCCTGCAAGTGTCCTAATTTCTTCGGGTAAAGCATTATATACTTTCACCGCCATTGAAAATGCATTCTTATTACTTAGCGTTAGTCTACAGAAGGGGACTTCAAGCAATCCTGTAGGACCACCTAGTGTCCGATAACCGTTTTAAAATCGGAATTTTTGAAGTAGAATCTTTAAGTGCGTTCGTAAGACGACCCCATCGATAGGTAGAAGCGGAAAAAAATGTATAGAGGTTTTTAATGAAATCGAAGAAAAGTAATGCTTATGTACAGCAGTCTGCAGCGCACTTAGCAACATTTTACGCTCCTATCTAAATTAATATTTTTTTATTTCGGTCAGACAGGCGTTGGAGCGCGGGGCCCCCAAATTCGCGGGGCCCGTAGCATTTGCTACTCTTGCTACGTGGCTAATCCGGCACTGCACTTATACCACGTACATTAAGTGCTCTCAATCGTTTCCTGGACCAAAACCCAAAATGTGACGTATTTGCAGAGGGGTGGAGTACGTTACTAGCAGAATGTTTGGGTTACTGTGAAAATAATCGCATCTGATTTATGTACTTTTCCTAAATTAAGTTAAGTTAAATTGTTTTTAATTACTTAAATGTTATTCTGAGCTTTGTTACGTCTTGTTTGAATAGTGTAATTGGTACTACCGTTCTATTCATGAATAAAATAAATAAATAAATAAATAAATAAATAAATCATTTATTTAAAAAATTCTCCCAATTTTTATATCATGCACTGCAGTTTATCTAAATGAAAATCATTTTATTTGTCATAATAATTGAAAGCCCAGCTTGCGTTTTTGGCCATTTAGCTAAGTATATTTTTGGCTTCTGCAGGCGATGTGACATACTTGAGTCGAATCGCAAGCCCTATAAATGCTTGCATAAATTACTTTATTTAAAAAAAAAGGGGACAGTTAGGTACATTTAACATTCATCCTGCATTTTTTTAAATCCATTTCACTTGTGTACACAATACACCAAGTCCGGCGACTTGGTGTCGGCGGTCTTATTTCAAACGAATCATGTCACCGTTTTTGTTTGTCGGCGAAAAGCCGCCGACTCATGTCGGTGGATCGTCAGGACTGCATTATTGAACGGCGGCATAAAGTGTTAGAAAAGACGCAAAATAGATTTTCAGTTCAACTTTAAGAAATAATGCCATACAAAGAACATTATTTTGATTTAATTTTATTAAATTTGCCTCACAAGTTCTCTGAAATTTTGAGACATTATTGTTGAGCAACTTTTAAAATGCACATTATAAAACATGTTGCAAGAATAGTTATATTGATATGAGTATGAGTATTACTGATGTACGTTCGGGTAAATTTGCTGTGCAATTAGTATATTGGTTGAGAAAATAATATTTTTGCACATCAACTTTTTAGTTGCGCGTTTTAGAAAAAAATATAGTACACTTTTGATGTGTAACATATTCGTATTATTTCTAGTAGGTACTAAGTAGTTTTGTTAAACAATTTGTTTGTTTGCAATGAAATAATTTATTTGATGTAAAAGTTATTTAAATTGATGAAAATAATAATACGATTAAATTGATGAACGATAAGTTATTTGATGTGCGATTAATAATATCCCAATACAAATTAATCTTTTCTCTATAAGTATGGTTAAAGGTAATCTTAGTCTGAGTACTTAAAGATGTTACAGTTAAAGCCGAGTGCCAAAAGTAGGGAAATTAAACACTTGCAATTTGTTATTTGGGAAAAGAAATTTGACCAAACTTGAAAAAAATATTGGAAAAAAGTGTGCTAACTGATAAATTGCGATACGTTGTTTTGGGAAATGAAAAGGATGATGGGCACAAATGTATGGAAAGTGGTACCCGCTCCAATAGCTATAACCAATATATATTTTAAAAGGCCTTTAGATGTAGGATAATGTCTGCTATGGGGCCAGTTCTAATTCACGTTTTGAAAGCAGTAATTCCACTAAGTATTATAATGAAAGTATGACACAATCATCCATGTATTATGTATTATGACTACAATCTATTAATATAGCTAAAAGAAGCATTGAAAAGGAAAGGATTATACCTACGATGAACTACCCAAGCTATTAGCCCTTTATTCGCTTTCATCATCATCATTATGATCATTTTAGCCATAGGACGTCCAGTTGAAAATAGGCCTCCCCCAATGATTTCCACAATGGCCGGTTGGTGGCAGCCTGCATCCAGCGCCTTCCCGCTACCTTTATGAGGTCGTCGGTCCATCTTGTAGGTGGACTTATTGGGTCTTGTGGGTTTATTCGCTTTAGTAACTCATAATAAAACCCTTAAGAAGTAATCAAACTTTAACCCCTTTATTAATAAAAGTTACACCCTAGTTGAACTTTAGCTTAAATTGTCATTTGGTATGGAAATGTCATTTTAATCCAAGGTTCTTCCTAGGTGTAACTTTTTATTAATAAGGGGGTAGTACTTCTTTAAATAAAAATATTTATTTCACAATTATCCCCATCAATAATTATAGAGTTAAGGAAGGATGCTGGAGCAGTAAACCCTTCCTGCCTCGCATAACCTAAGTACCATACGATGGACACGTATGATACTTCTTCTTCTTCTTCCTCGGTCCCTCACTGATGAGGATCGCGACCACAGATAGTGTTCCTCCACAGACTGCGGTCATAAGCTGTGTGGACCGCACGATGCAAACTCCCGCCCACCGTCTTCCTCACCGCGTCCGACCATCTCGTCGGTGCCCTGCCCCGAGCGCGTCTGCCTTCCATACTGTATGATACTTAGGTTACACAAAAAGTATCTTTATCTTCTAACGCAACCAGATCTGAGGCTGGTGGCCATAGTAAATGTTGTTCGTCTTGATAAGACCTTTCAAATAACACTACAAACATAACTATTGGAGCCGATTCTGCAAAAAAGTATGTATATCTTCGTACACAACCAGATCTGTATATGATCAGCTGGTAGAGAATGACGTATGGCATTAAGCTCGCCTTTTTGTACAGAACATTGTTGTGTGTGCAATAAAGTCTTTAAATAAATAAATAAATCTGTGGCTGGTGGTCATAGTAAAAGTTGTTCATCTTGGCAAGACCTTTCAAACGATACTAGACACATATCTATTGGAGCCGGGTACCATTTTGCCCATTGTCCTTTGTGTATAGCCTGACCAGGAACATAAAAACCCTCGCCATGTTGCGGAAAACTAATGGTACTAATTTCTTTTAATGGCAACAGTAACTGAAAACTTCATTCACATGTCACCATGCATGTCAGTCTATTGTTGTCAAAGTGTAAACAAACTTTATTTTAAATGTGTGCAATTGATTTCGTGAATTAAATTGCTAAAATATTTTTATAGTCGTGAAAGAAAAGTGGTTCACGATGTGTTAATGTATTTGTCGAAGAGAAATACTAAGGGTTCGGACAATATTTTCATTGAATAATGTTTCCGACAAAGGTTGTCAAATTGACTGACATGTTTATCGTATGGTACAGTCCACTATGAAAATTAGCTGTAGTCTGTTTCAACTACCTATTTTAAAGTTTTTTGTCACTTTCTAAGTTTTGAATTTTATGGAATTGGGAAAGAAGTACCGAGTTTGAAGCGTTCATGAGCAGACATTGCAGTTGAATATTCATGTTCTGAATTTGATTATTGATGAATAATAAAATAAATCCTACTAGCTCGATTGATGGTTTCATTTAATTTATTTAAACCAGGTTATCTTTAATAATATTTTTCGTTAATTTATGAAAATATCAAATTAGCCCGTAATCCTGAATCCTGATACATAAATTTAGCCTATTAATTTAACACATGTACGACTGTACTCAGTGTTGCACTATCAAATGCAATTGAAGCGCCTCTGTGCCAGGGTTTTTATGTTCCTGGTCAGGCTATAACGTATGTGATACTTTGGGAAAAGTTTTTTGACTATACGTTAGTAAACCTGTGCTCACACTATTTACTTCGATTAATGTCCGCAAACGCGAGTAGTATTAGTAGTGTAACTGAGGTATTGTTGAAAGAATCATTTTCAAACAACGCGTTTTCCCAAAAGTATTCAGTGAAAACTAGTTTTAACTAGGGAAAACCATTTTTCACTGAAAACGGATTTTAACTGTAACATAAATTAAATAAATCTATCTACCTTAATCAATGATATTATATAAAACTTTTGTTTTTATATAATATCATTGATGATTGACCTTAATCTATCTATAAAACTGAGATGGCACAGTTTTAGGTAAATTCGTTACAAAATAGCCAGAACCAGCTATACTAGCGCCATCTAGAGGGTTGAACTACAACGAATGAGCGCTGTAAAGCCTTGTTCGCACTAGTCGAGTAATTTAGTAGAGTATTTATCTCGCCTTCAGTAACTAAAAAGAACTAAATTACTAGCTGCTGACAAAAAACCCGTCCGCACTTTGGTCGATTACGGCACATTACGGTTTACAAGTCCTAGTTAGGGGTTTTCAATAAGCTGCCCGATTCGTCGGACTCGTTTAGTCGATGAGCGAATGAGCAGGTACGCGTGGTGGGAGTATGGAGGGGAAAGGGTTATTACTATTTATTACTCGCCTAAATTTTTGGTGTTCTGACACGTGCAACTACTCGACTAAATTACTAGACTAGTGCGAACAAGCCTTACATAGTGCTTCTTCTTTGTTTTATTGTATCTTTGATCTTTAAGATTTTTTTTGGTGGCAACATTAATGACAATATTGATTATTTTTTATTATTTACAAAGACTGTTCGTTACTTTTTTGATAAAAAGTTTAGTTAATATTTATTTATAATTACTTTTACAGATTTCTAAATAAATTGAAATTGTAATTTTCATCGCCTAAAGAAATATTTTTTAAGACAAAAAATAAAAATGTATCATTGCGTACACACAGAATGTTGCCATCCATCAGCCTTTCACATCTCTGCAAACACCGCGATGCGCAACAATGTCATCGCGCAGATCAATACAAGCAACAAGCTCTGTAAATAATTTTCTTACAAAAGCGTCAACAAAACAAAATGCTCCCAGTTTCCAGTTTTACTTCATCATGGCTTGTGAGAGTGTCTAATGGCAGCCGGGTATTTCTTCTCTAGTAGCTTGGGGGGTCTCACAGTTTAATTTTATTTGTGAATAGTAAACGGTTACAGTTTTGTATCACGTCCGACGGTTCCAATTTTAATTTAACATAATCACATGAGTTTAGATTGTGTCGTTTTGACTTCATTTTTGTCGTTATTGGTAGGCGCAGGTGAGGTGATAAGCTTGTCAATAATCAAAAATAAAGATGAATGAATGAGTTGTTACCGTGATACATTATTCCCCAACGATGAACGGATATTTTTTCTTTTGGTAAATATACTAGAGATAGATGGCAGCTGTACTTTCATTATCATTGTGTTCACAGCATTATGCCCATCTGAACTTTAAATTGTATATGCTCTGGACTGGAATGCTTTTAAACTGTATGTATTTGTATAAAATTTATTCACATTATTCAATTATTTAATGCATAAAAATATATATTTATTTGAGATTGTACTTACAGAAGTATCTAATGTCATGGTCCATCTTTAAAATCGTTTTGTACATCAATATAAAATGGCCAATGCTAACTATGTAAGCAACATTTTGCTAGCATGCATGTAGGTCCTACATTCAAAAACCAAGCCAGTTAATTAGTCCTGAAAAAACAGTTCATCCTCTATTATTAGACTATTATTCTTACTATGCCTATAGATAAAAAAATATAATAATATAATTAATATGTATAGATGAGACCCATTATTCTCTATCATTATTCTATATCACTATTATCATTATCAATAACTATCATACAATATCATTATGAAAATTGCTAATTAAATATTAAAAATGTTTACTTGGGATAAGACTATACTACAATTAGTTTTCTATTGAGGGAAGGACAACTCGAAGTTTATAGTACTATCTATTAATACAATTTATTATTTTAGTTTGACTTATCATTTGTATTGTATTCTTTGTTGAAGATAACATTATATCAATATTAACAACATCTTAAACAATACCAATTTCACTCATATAGTATTCAAAATATTATTTCATTGTTAAAATGAGACTATTTAAACATTGAGCGGCCAATGTGTTGTCTTATGTTCTACTTCAATTATAGGCAGAAAAAGTAGTACTAGTAAAGAACAAAGTGTGACAAAATGGTCCTAGCCTCAACGATAGACTTGAAAGAAAAAAGGCCTTGAAAAATAAAATTGGTTTTACCACCTGTTTACTTGACTGTTATATTTTAACTGATAAAAAATGTAGGTACTAATTCCCTTGCATTTAAGTGAGATTTGCAATAATCTTAAATATCTGTCATCACTCAACTAGTAGAATTTTCATTCGAAAAGGCCAATAACATTACAATACTCATGTATTTTGAGTGTCTTCATTTCCTATTCAATTAAAAATACATCATTTTATGTGACATGAAAGCTTCAAGTACAATGTATGTACTACAAAATGGCCTCCGTAGATGAGACTCGATTGAAGGGGTGACATACAATGAACTTTTGCATTGAAGATGATACACATAAGGGTCAAGTGAGCTTATACCCTGTACAAAGTAGTCATCGCTTAAATTGTAACAATCTTAAAGGGTTATTATGTGATAGTCACTCTTGTTAATAATAAACGGCAAGCTTTGCTAAGCTATGGCTATGCAGTGTTTATTTTTTTAGGAATAGTACTAAAACTACGTAATATAAAACAGTCACATTCCGTTCTCTGTCCCTATGTATACTTAGAACACAATCTCTCGTAGGATTGCCTTTATTTTATTTTAAGCTACAGATTAAGAAAAAGAAAATGATGAGTTACCTTAAATAATATTTGCAGTGAATTGAGAATTAAGGCAGAATTATTATTACACTGAACAACAACATTACATACGTAATATTATGTATATAATAATATGTTCTTGTGTACTTTAAAATATAATAATGTTTAATGTATTATAATATCAGTTAAGAGCATTGTACAGTTTAAAGTGATCCATTCATTGGTGATATTACATGAATGCCTAGGAAACTCATCATCATTTAATATAAGTTTTGGATTTTCAACGTCACCATCATTCATGGCTTTTGGCTGCTCCATTACGTGTTTAGAAGCAGTAAAAGAAAAATATTGAAGCAAAACCTTTAATAAATTCCTCATGGTAGTGGGATGTGAATTGATAGAATAATGTTATCCTGAGCTCATTTAACGGCTTGAAGTAGCATTTCATCATTCATCAGTCATTATTGCTGCTCGATTTTGTTGTTCGTTCACTGCGTCTGAGGGGTGCGAGTTGTTTGCAGGGTTTGAATCAATAATGCGGTGTCCAATATGAAGGAGATGGTAGGAGGATGCTGCGTGTGCTCGGACGAGCGAGGGTGGCCAGACAACCCGCTGGTATACTGCGACGGGAATGGGTGCACCGTTGCAGTCCACCAAGGTTTGTACATTCATAATTATTTTGTCTTTAGGCTGGGCTGCACCCTCTTAGTTTAACTATAGCGTTTGCTATCAAAAGTCGCGTCAAACTCCATACAATAACACCGGTTATGGTTATAGGTACAGTTATAGTAAGGTGGTGCAACTCATCCTAAAAGTGCCTTTCGTACCGAACTGCAACTGCCGACAGCATAAGCCGCTGCATGAAGTTGGCTACAGCTGTAAGTACTGACTCTAGATATTAAGATACTACAGGTTATTCTTTTTTGCAGCATGTTATGGTATTGTGACTGTACCAACTGGACCGTGGTTCTGCCGAAAATGTGAATGCCCTGACATTAAAGGCAAAGTGGTAAGTGAATCAGGCATAATATTCAAATTGTTAATTATAACGTAACCATAAATCATTTAAACTTAAAGTGATGTGTGTCGAGAATAATTTCGAGTGTAGTAATAAAAAAGTATTTATAAAGAGGGTAGATCTACTACCATTGCTGTTAAAAATACGGCAGCCATGTTCCGTTAGCCATTCATATCTAGGCTTCAGTTTACCCTTGATCATGGCACGTAAAACCGTCTTGAAGTATCCGAGCTACAAAAAACAGGATTACCAGGTGGAAATTTCGTTATAATTAACATTTTTAGCGTTGGTGGCCTACAGTTTTGTTTATATTATGTTTTTGGCGAATTTTTGAACTGGGTTTATTTTGTAGAAATGCGAGCTATGCCCGTCGAAGTCGGGAGCTCTTAAACGGACCGACACAGGGGGCTGGGCCCACGTAGTCTGCGCCCTGTACATCCCAGAAGTGAGGTTCGGCAATGTCACCTCTATGGAACCAATCGTTCTGAGGCTAATCCCCCCGGAGAGATACAACAAGGTAACAAGGGTGACACGTGAGTTGTGAGCATCGTATTAAGTTAGGTATATCAAAATAAATGTAATGTGTTTCTGTTTCAGACTTGTTACATCTGCCACGACCAGGGCAAGACTCATCGTTCGACAGCTGGGGCTTGCATGCAGTGCAACAAATCAGGTTAGTCAATAACTTGAAAAAATTCCCAGGTTATGTTACCTTCTTCTGTTTGTCAAAAAATACATTTATTTCTTTATTCATTTGTCTGGACCCTTTAATCATACATTTAATGCTTGTTGTCTAAACCATAGTTTTCATAATACTTACCTACAGATTATTTGTTTATTTTTGTGTAGGGTGCAAACAACAGTTTCACGTGACCTGTGCCCAAAGCCTGGGACTGCTTTGCGAGGAAGCCGGTAACTACCTGGACAACGTAAAATACTGCGGATACTGTCAACACCACTACAGTAAACTGGTAAGTAGAAGAAAACTTTAATTTTTAAATTGTGTTTAAGATTATTAATTCAGTGTTGTTTAATAATTTTCTTTAGGTAATATAGGAAGGTGATTAAGAACTCATATTATTTCGTGTTACCTATCGTGTGTTTTCAGCTAACTATTTTGATGAAAACAAGAACTCGGGCGCAATGAATGACTATATTTTTATTATTTTCATTAATTATTATTTTGTTCTATTCTAATAAAAATAAATCTAATCATATTCGTTCGCTATGGTGACATTCACATAAGCAGATAATGGATGAATTTCATGAAATTAATCATAGGCTGTATAAAAAGGTCCCTATTTAAATATTTATTTCAATTATCGAAAAAATTTAAATATGTAGGTATCTCGCTCGACGCAAAAGTTTCGATACCTATGCCGATAAATGTTTTTAGTTCTCTTGTACAAACATAACACTACTTATACTTACTACTACTGTGCCGCGTCTGTCTGTTCGCGATAAACTTAAAAACTGAATGGATTTTCATGCGGTTTTCGCAATTAAATAGAGTGATTATGAGAAAAGATTTACGTAAATATTTGTCAAGGAGAAAAGTAAATGATAAGTTTATTGGGACGATTTTTGATAAGGGACGCGCGCTATTGTTAAGTCTTACTATGACAGATTTTCACGCAGACGAAGCTACGGGCAAAAGCTAGTAGGTACTAACTAAATACCTACATCGTCAGTAACATGGTTTTATCATAGCTAACAGTTTTTCCTGGAATTGCATTTTAATAATTGATTAAATCTTTGTAACTCCTGCAATCACACCAAAATGAGCTTGTGCTACGCTACGGTGAGATGATAATGATGTACTTGCACTCTTATCTAAAGAGGTAAAGTGATTCGTGAGTGTATAATTATAATCCCTGACCGTAACCACAGTCCGCCGAATCGAAAACAACTGTAGCATTTTGTTTTTTTATCTGTTTTATTAAAAGTGTTGTTATTGTTGAGTATTTAAGTTGATATTAGCACTGATAATATCTGTCTGTAGAAACCGGTCCATTTCATTCATTCAGCCCTAATAGACAAGGTTGCACTTGTAATAGATGGACCCTCACGTCTTTTGTACCTACGCTACGTGAACTGATCACGAAATTGTATCTGTTACAATGCTACGTCTAGGCCAGGGATGACGAACCAATGGCACGCGACACAATATTTTAAGCACGCAACTGATCACAAAGCTCACTATGGAATAAAATATTAGAAAAGTTTTTTTTACATAACAAATAAGTGTTTTCATTTGATATAAAATTTAGTATGTGACGGCACGTCTATGGCGTCTTATTTTGTCTTAAATGGCACGTTGAATCATAAAGTCTTGCCACCCCTGGACTAGGGGTAAGATCATGCTTCGCAGTCCCAAGACACCACAAAACGATCTAGTTTGGATAGACCTATTCGTATAATGCAAAATGTTATAACAGTGTGTTGCAGTTTATGTTATGTTGTATGTATGAATAAGTACAACTTGTGGCTTTGTAATTAGGAGCCCGAACCATTAAACTCAATTGCTGCCACAATAATTACCATTTTCACTATTTTTACTAGTGGCCGCCCGCGACTTCGTACGCGTGGATCCCGTTTTACCCCCTTAGGGGTTGAATTTTGCAAAATCCCGTCTTAGTGAGCACCTATGTTCTAAAAGGAACTACCATGCAGAATTTGAGACTCCTATCACTTGTAGTTAGTTCCGAACCAAAATTCAAGCAAGTGAAGCCTCGGGCAAAAGCTTGTTTTTCAATTAAGAACGAGCATCGAACATTTTAGAGGAAACATTAAAATGCATCGCTTTGTGTTATTGTGCCGTATTCATATCAATAGCTATGTTTAGTTTATAGACCACGTCGATGCGAAGCGCGGCAATGCCCAGGGTCGGACTGGGCCGGAAGGGCCCGGGTGGCTGATCGCAATCCCGAGGCCCGAGACTAGATCATGGTGATGGGATACTATCGAAAAATACTGAGATACACAAATTGAGATAAATAAACTGTAAAAAATTTATAACAATACTAAAATAAAGTAAAATAATAAGTAGGTATTTACTAATAACAAATAATAATATAAAGCTAGCCAATCAACATTTTTATCAAAACAGGAGAACTTTCAGCTAAGCAGTTAATGACTCGATCGTTAAAGCTGCTGTTTTCGTAATCCTTGATTAGATCCGATTCTGTATTTAATACAGTGTGAGTTACGATAAAGTGCACATATGAAATTAGGTGAAACTAGATCTATTTTTATCGACAAAAAACAGGTCAAAAATTTTTTGAGATTTTTTTTTCATTTTTTATAGATTTTTTTTTCTTCCAATTACTTGTTGTAAAGAAAACGTAATAACTTTTAAACTAAGAGGTATATCCTGTAAAAACAGTAATAATGCTAAATAACAGACGATACTAAAAAAAAATACATAAAATACTCAGAAAATGCCAACAAATAATTAAAAATGATACTTTAAAAAAAATCTGCTTTTAAATTCGTGTTTTCTTGGTTATTTGATAAATTTCTCCAAAAAATGCCCCTATAACCGGTGGTTTTTATTACTTTGTATTATTCTCTATCGTATTACCTTCGTAAAACCAAAAATCTCATGTCTCTATCCCTATCACAACATTTGCTATGATCGTTTGAACTAAGCCTCTCCGGGCGCGCCATTCAACGCTTCGTTAACAACGAAACTGAAAATGGCTCTAGATTTGTAATTTTGATAAAGACAAGTTAGATTTCAAATAAAAACAAAAGATTTCGAAGTAAAATAAGCATTTTAGTTAAAATTAAAATTGTCCCTACCTGTAGCGTAGAATAATGTTGTGGTAGGCCTTTGTTCAAACTATCATAGAAAATGTTGTGATAGGGATAGAGTCGATAGAGACATGCGATTTTTGGTTTTACAAAGGTAATACGATAGAGAATAATACAAAGCAATAAAAACCACCTATTATAGGGGCATTTTTTGGAGAAAACCAAAAAAACACGAATTTATAAGCAGATTTTTTTCAAAAAGTATCATTTTTTATTATTTGTTGGCATTTTCTTAGTATTTTTTTCGTATCGTCTGTTATTTAGCGCTATTACTGTTTTTATTTTATCAGGATATACCTCTAAGTTTAAAAGTTATTACGTTTTCTTTACAATAAGTATAAAAAATTTAATAAAAATCTCAAAAAAATTTTGACCTCTTTTTTGTCGATAAAAATAGGTCTAGTTTCACCTTATTTCATATTATGTACACTTTATCGTGACTCACACTGTATAATTAACGTATCTAACAGTTCTTGCCCCAGTAGAGAACGAAGTCTCGTTTTAATGCGCTTTAATGCTGAAAATCGTCTCTCACAAGTCACTTGCGTGAATGAAATTGTGAGAATTAAACACTGTAATACATAAAAAAAGCAAAATAAAACTCCCATCATTTTCCGGCAATTTTCCGAGTATTGCATTTATTAGAGAACGCAATATTATTTTTGGGACATGTGTGGGTCAATGTGGTCAATAGAAGCTTAACCTCAAGTTTTTGGGGTCGCCCGCCACTCTTGTCCCCCAACCGCCTTCTTGAAAAAAGGGGTGAAAACACTTTTTTAAGCGTCTTACAAAAAATTCGCTATGTCATAATTTGTAGCAAATTGTTTTGCCTACAAATATGTTTACACAGGCTCCTCTTTCCCACTGGGCACTTTGGGCACGTGCCCAGGGCCCCACGACGGAAGGGGCCCCCGTCTGCTCAAAAGACCTTTTTCCAGATGATAAGACCCCCCTTGATCCTTAAGTGCCCAGGGCTCCTAGTAAGTTACTCTTTCAAGGTAACTGACATAATTATTATTACTGGACGGGATTATTACTGATGGAAGAAACATATTCCATAAACAACAACCACTCACCGATCACAGCGCGCATCAGCTCGTGATACACGATGTGCTGGTACCTACGCAGCAATGTTCACGTCCCTGGCGACCTGGTAAAGCTTGTCGTCGCCCCAGCAAGGGTTGAGCTCATGCAGCTTGTCGACCAAGTAATTGTGGTTGCGGAACAGCCAGAAGATCAGGTTGACCTGATCTCAACATCAATGCCATGGAGAGCGTTGCGCTTAGCTTAATTATGTTTGTGTGACGAGTGGTTTCCCCACAATAGTTCAGCGGCGGCGGGGTTCAAACCAGTGTTCCTTGGATCCCGAGTCGGCCAGTCTGACATCTTCACCGTTTCATTTTGATCGCTAATGTCAGTTTGTAGCGAGTGACACAACCTCCCCGTCTGAAGGCCAGCGGCCGACTGCCGCCCGCACCCCGCGAAGGCCCCCTCAACAGCAAAACGTTCGGAATTTATCAAAAGTAAAATTTATGAATGAAAGTAATGTTCGATTGAAAAACGCAACGTGTCATTTAAAGATTAAAGAATTCCCAATCTATTCGTGCAAAAATCTTTTAAATTAACATAGCCGTTTTGGAGGAGTAGGGAATTTAAGTAAAAAATCGATGTCCCGTATTTATTTTTTTAATCCAAAACAAAGACACGTAGCGAAAATTCAAACGTCACAAATGTAGTCCTTGAACTGTTGTATAACATACATTTTTTTCAACTATTTCTGTCCAGCAGTAAAAGAGGAGTAGGCTTTACAAAATGCCCATTTAGCGCGGATTGAGGACACTAATCGCCTTAATTTAGGTATGACATACTTAGGCTAAGATTACGCTCGAGTATGAATCTACACTCAAGAACAGATTCTGGCCTTAGATTAGAGTTAACTTTTCAACTTAACTAGAATTTGATGCTGGAGTTCAAATCGAGTCTTAAAATTAGTTTCAGAATAGTTTCGAGCCGTAGGCAATAAAATATTAGTTTATAGTAAATTATAGTAGTATAGAAGGTATTTACAACTATTTCTAAACATGTTTATAACAGTTATCTCTAAAATCTCTAAAGGTATGATTTGTAAAAATAAAACTGCAATAAATAAATTATAGTAATGCTACAATCTGCTATGTATCATGCGAAAACTCATAGATGGTTAGATTTAATACTTATAATACGTTATTTCGTACTGAAATCATCTGAACCGATCGTTCGTTTTAAATATTGTCCATTGAAAATCCCGGGCTAACGATCTCCCGTAGTGCTGGTAGATGTTTCTAGGTATTTCAGAGGACGGTTTATTGTTTTCCAAGTCTATTTTCTCCCTGCGCCGTTTTCAGGTCGTCTCTTTGTTTCGATAAAAACTTTGCTTTGCTGCTATATTTATCAGTGTTGCAAGAAAATCAGTCTTTTAATTATTAAAGGCTTTGAAAATGGCTGGACTCATTTTTGAGGCCTCACAACAAACCATTTCGACCTAAATTAGTCTTCAGTTTTATATCCCGCGGACTACAGACTTTTAGGTGGATTCGACCAAACAGGAGTAAATATTAATCTCAGAATAAATCGTCAGTTTTGACATTTCCCATACTGAAACTGTCAATGTGTCCGTATACCAGGAGTTATTCTAAGATAAAAGTTTGGTAGAATCGGGCCTTAGTCGGCTAACAGTTGGGTAGGGCTGAAGTGTACTATAGATCGTGCCATAAAACAATTCTGCAGTAAGTACAATCAAGGGTCAAATGTTTCGTGACACCCATGGTAGAAAAAAAAGTTTACAAAACTTACAATAGGCTAGATGTCAAAATTTCAATTATTTGTCCGTCAGACAGATAATTAGAAAATATTAGACTCATATTTTTTATTTTCTTTCATAATTAAATAATAACCGTGCTACATCGAGTTGAAATGGCGCGTTACGTCACACTTGAGTAGATTTTTACTCAAAAGTGACGTCACGCGGCATTTCAACTCAATATAATACTGTAATTATTCGATTATGAAAAATAAAATAAAAATATGTGTCCATAATTTCGATTTCATTACCCAGTCAGTCATCATCTCTATTGTGACGAAGACGTGTTGGGAACTTTTTGTCAACTTTGGGGGTCACGAACTATTTGATGCTGACTACTAGGCGTTCCTAAAACAATAAATAGAACGTGCATACAAAATATTTGCCAGAACTAAACAGTAGGTACAAACAGCACAGTTCTTATCCGAGATCTTTCTAATTGCTTTTTTAAATGATGTTTTTTGTGGAAGATCCGTCATGTACGCGTGTGTTTCAAATTATCGCAAATGCCGCTGTTGTTTAACCCACTGACATTGGTGTATCTGTTACCCGAGATTCATTTCGTAAACAACTTTTAATTACTATCCCCGCGACTAAATTTTACTTAGACTTTGCGTTTTGGTACATTAATTTTAATTAACATTGTTCCTGATTATAAATAACTTGAAAAAATCGAACTGCCTAAAGCGGGAATCGAACCCACGACTTTTCGCTTGCCGAGCGACTTGACTTCAGATGCGACTTAACGCTATGATAATAACTATTGTTGCTGATTGCTTGATAACTTTCGTTTTAAGCGTCATCTTCACTGGAACGCAATGTGAAACACTTTTAACATAAGGATGCGGTCAGTTCTACAACACGTGTTACATTACCTACAGCTGGCGCCGAAACTATACAAACATATTATGTAGTTTTATGAAATAAATACAATGCACCGCGGTATACTGCGTGGAATAATGTTAAGGGAATGAAAGCGAAAATTCTGTACCGCTTATGTTTTACATTTTGCCCCAAAATAAAACCAATGATTCCTGATAGTTTGTACGAGTACAAATTACTGATATAGCTATGTCATTCGAAAACATTTTCAAAATTTTGCTTGTTTGAGCTCGTCACGACTAACAATTTGTGTGGATTTTATTTGTGTGCATTTATTTTACTTTGCTGAGTTTTCGCATTTTGGTTTTGCTTTCTACTAATAATACTTTATAGTCAATTGCCAATACCCAGCAACCGATGAGTTCAAACCACAAGCCTAACCGCGAAATTGTTGGTCGGAAGAGCCTGTCTTCTAAAGTTTATAACTCGCACGCCGCCATATGCGCGTGTACATAAATTACACTTAGGTGCAAGTTAATCGGTTTACTTGAAGCTGTTAACTTTTATTGCAGTCTCTCAAATTCTAAAAACTTTCAAATGTCTGCTTTAATGTGTACTGGGATAAAAGTTATACAAAATTTTATGTAGTGTCATGCGAAATTGAAGACGATTGACTTGCACGCAAGTAGATTCACAGAAGCAGTTTGCGACTGAGTCGCGCCCACGAGCTTTATCAAATTTTATATTAAAGTATCCTGTTACCCATAGCGTTACCGCCATATGAACCCGAAGCTCGAAGTCGAGTCGATTTGTCGGTTGGTACACAGTGAGTGTTGATTGCGCAGAAAAAAGGCGGGAACGTGAAGACCATACCGCCTTACAAGCCGGTCTCACACGACAGCCAGTCGAGCGATTCCAGTGGCGAGAAAGAGGACGACGCCTCCTCCGTGCCAGGGGGCAGCGGCACTCCCACGCAGGCCACCAAATCCAAAGGGGTACGTCGGAACAGACTTCATTTGTTCAGTATCTTTCCTTTCTTTCCCTTTCCGTTTGTGTCAAGTAAAGACGTACATTTCGTGATAATGAGAACGAAAAAGGTTAACTCAATTGTGCATTTTTATTTATTGTAGCCATGTTAGGCGTCTGGTAAATTTGATTATTGATCAGACTAAATTTGTTGCGAGTGTTTTTGTACAGTACTGATTGCATATCAGCTTATGAATGTTTGGCGTTTAAGGTGACGAACCCCGCGTACGTATAGGCTAGTAAGAAGTACTTGTTCTTTCAGCCGGGTCGCAAGTCCAGCGCTGCTGCTGGGAAGAGCAATCCCAGCACCACCAAGACTGCCACCGTCACTAGCCAGTCTTTGGGTAAGTCATAATAATAATAATAGTCATAAGTAATAAACGAATCTTTTTACCTACTTACTGTCTACCTCCAAATGAAAATCAAGCTCGCCACTGATCTTATACACCCGACAGTGGCGATACTTCTAAATTGTAGTTATTGTCTATACCTATTTATGCTATACTTTACTCAATTCATCAACAGTTCAAGTCTCTCATGGTCCAGGTCCACAGTTGGCCATGTTCAGATCCTTTAACTTCGTGTACTTTAACTTATCTACCAGTCATATCTACTCGAGACTAGTGGTATCTGACAATACATATTTAACATGTTATTAATGATAAGTAGCTTTAATTGTCCCTGTTATTGTTTTGTTGTTGTACTGTCTTTGGATAATTAATGTAATTGTTGTTTTGTCATCACCCGCTGCAGAGGCGAGTCAGGACCCGGCGGATGCTCCCATTTTAGGCCGCAAACAGAAATCCTCGGACAAAAGTGTGTTCCGAATGTTTATTACTGTGGATGTCTTAGCATGTTTCATTTGTTTCAAACATATGCATGCAGATCATGGTATACATCACTACAATATCAAGGCATCATGCTCCCGATTAGTTTTCAATTTTGCGAATGCCACCACGAATAGTGTATGACCTACTGACTACACGTACCTCTTTGAATCTTGAATCCATCCCTGATAAGTCTTTAACATGATGGACGAGTAAATCAATATTTATGCATATTTTTGTGCCTAGCGATGTCCCATCACGGGTTGCTTCATCTATTGAACTTGAATATATTTTTATTGATGCTTATTCCGAAGTTGTTCCTATTGCAGTTGCCTATATTTACAACTACCGCCACTTGAATATTATTATTTATTTGATATTGTCGAGCAAAATGGATGAATAAAATAAATTCTACAAACTTGCCTAACTACCATAAACATATTTTGCATTACGAGACCACGTGAGCAGGAGGTAACGTTATCGCTCATCTACAAGCTTATTTTATTACTACATCATTATTTATCATTCACGTTTTGAAGGCTGAGACATTTAACATCTTTATAAAGGATTAATTATTTCTAAAATGGTGAGACGCGCTCGCCACTTCATTCAATAGTATAGGCGTGTGGGCAACTATGAAAGAAAAGTTTGTCCTCATTCTTATGAAAGTTACTTATTTCGTATTTAAATGTAATGTAATATTATAACTCTTGCTTGGTACACTAGCTTGAGCCTATATGCGAAGTACTGTAAAGTACTTACTTTATTTCGAAAACCGCGATAGATTAAGAATGTAGTAAATATTTTCATCCAAGTTTTTTGTAAGATATAATTAGAAACAACTTTATCAACACAAGAAGGAAAACGATTAATCTTCAAGTGGTGGTTTTTGTATTTTTAGAACCATTTTGTTATACTTGAAATAGTACTTTATTTTCTGAATCACATTTTTATTAAAGGTGAGGTTATAAATAGGATTTAATTTTGCACGATATGAATAATGCTGCGTCAATGTAATAGTAAAATGTGTTGTATATTTTGTTTTGTTTATGTGTTGTCCTGGGTTTTTTTTGAGGGAGTAGGGTTGGTACGCTATGTTTTTTATTACATGGGTTTATACAGAAAATTCACCCTGTATATTGGAGAGGTTTTTGGTTGGTTGGATTGGAATTGTTCAAATTTCTGATTGAGATTGAATGTAGTTTTGAGTATTGTCTATGTATTACTGATTAAAGTTCATAAATTGAATAAAATGCACTTAACCGGGACCTTCGGGAGATATAAATTAATTAATTCGCTTATTTAGCTTAATTCTATTTAGTTACATTAAAAATGCACCGTACTATTAATAATCACCGTACTATGAAATTTTAATGTCGTCCATATTTAAGTTGTTAAGTAAATAAACAGGCAGTGAAGCACTGTAATTAAACGTTCCCCTGACAAAATACATTCATTTATATTGCTCCTTCACGTCATTTGCAAGTTGGGATTTTTATCTTTTACCAAATACGTTTTTGTGCGCTTCTTCATTTCATTATTAAATCATTTTTAAAACTCATAACAGCTAGAGCTCTGCCTTGTAAAGTTTTCCAAGGAAATAGAACTACTAGAACACAAAGCGGGAATTCCAGAACTGAAAAGCAATTACAGCTTTCAATTGCAACGTGTACTAAGAAAAGCGTACGAGAAAATAGTTTGTGCCTTCATTTCGCTCTGTGTCCCACTGCGTTTGTCTAGCACAAGCATCTTATGTTAAATTCATATTTAGTAGGTACAAGTTCAGTCGTTTTTAAATGTAGGTACATTAGCTACTTTTTATTAGTTCCTTATCTATACCAGCCAGTCTTCATGAAGTGTAAACAATATTATTGCGCACAGTATTTACGAGCGAAGATGTATAGATGAGCTATTGTAAACTTACTTTCATATAAATTGCACGTCTCGATTAAGTGTGGGATAAGCCGGTTTAAATTAAAGTATTAATTTATCAATACAAAGTTAGGCAGTTTGCAAGCGGGTACTAAATCAGCCATAAACTGTTTTCCAAGCGAATATGCGTACTAATCTATCACAGACATCGTTGTTTACGTAGAAATACAAGTGACAGACCGCTCGTGGCTGTGGCTTGTCTCGTGTGCATGCAACCTAAGGTTGATAGTTAAAGAAAGTTGCGCAAGACGACAAACATTCATTATTAAAACAAAAACTAGGCATCAGGTGTCAGTTAACGCTGTTGCTTGCAATATGAGACTGCGTGTCGGTAAAAGTGGTTTGTATGCATGCGTTACTCTACGGTCGGTGTAGTCGAGTATGTATAAGTAGGACTCGATGGTGCAGGTGGGAAGCAGCACTCTGATAAGAAGAAGCCCTCGCCGTCCCGCCGTGGGTCCTCAGCAGGAGACGGAGGCTCCAGCAGCAAGGCTAGCACGCCGGCTCCCTCGCCGCAGCACCCGCCACCGGAGCCCCAGCCGTCCACATCCAAAGGTACATTAGTAGACCCATTCCATTTCAATAGGACCACCACAGTAGCTCACCAACGACATCAACAAGCAAGCTAAAATAGTGCAACCTCATAAGAACAGGGAACCCCAATGTAATTATTAGCATAGGTATTTGTTTCTGATTGCACTTTGTTTGTGCCCTAAAGTATACATAGTAGCGTCGTACTATATTGTCACATCAATAAAAACATATCGATTCATAATTCGTCCATTTGCGACGACAGTGTGACATCTCCAATAAAATTATTGTACGAGATGTTTCGGAATGGCGGGGCACATAGCTCGTAGAGTTCAAGTAAAAGTTCTAGAGAGGCGACCACGAGCCGGAAGACGTAGCGTGGGCAGGCCTCCCACTAGGTGGACAGACGACCTGGTGAAGGTCGCGGGAGGTGCCTGGATGCGGGCGGCGCAGGACCGGTCTTTGTGGAAAACTTTCGGGGAGGACTTTGTCCAGCAGTAGACGTCTTTCGGCTGGAACGAACGAACTAGATGTTTCACTGTGGGCTTGGGTTGAGCAATGAAAGTTTTCCCAGGACATTCCTAGTTCTTTACCTGTACCCTTCATATTTCATCACCAGAAGTCAATATCCTAATGAAGATGCATATTATTTTAGCTCTTAATAACTTGTAATAATGTCGATTCTTGTTCCAGCAGCCGGCGGTTCCACGCCCGGTCCCAAGGCGACCCCGCCGCCCGCGTCGCCGAGCGCCGCCAAAGTAGCCGAGCCGGTCGGCGTCATCAACACAGCGCCGCCGGCGTCTTCCATACCGCTGCCGACTACTCCTGCTACTTCTGTTACGTAAGTATTATTATAGATCGTTTCATCCACGAAGACGCGCTGGTGGGGCGCGTCATTATTGGTCGGAGGAACCGCGCGGTTTGATCCGAGCAATCCGAGCGCCATTATTGTAGTGTGAGAGTACCGATAACACTCCAAACATTAGCGGAAGATTGGTGGGGCGCGTCTTCGTGGATGAAACGATCTATAGTAGTATTGGGGGAAAATGGCAGTATCCAGGTTAGGGCCCAGAGCAGTTCCAGAGAGACGCTTGTGGTAGTTGGTTGGTGTGGGCGTGTATACCGAAACTTTTTCGTTTACCTTGTCTTACTTGGTACCATGATGATGTGAGAATGGCGTGAACCACGACTACATTGGTCTCAACGAAACTTAGCAGGCCGGGGAAGCACAATAAGTCTGCTGACCACGTCTGCTACTCCTTTCACATCTTCTTATCGTGTCGACAACAAACCTACACAGTGTCAGCCCAAAACTCCGCTAAGAGTGGCGTTGTCAGCAGCATTCATTAAATCCTCCTGCGTGCAGTTGCTCGGGCACTCAGGGTATCTTTCAAATGATTATGATGGTGGACAAATGTTTACTAAAAGCAGCGACGTACGGTCACAGATAATATCCAGTCCAATCATGGAATAGTTAGTCTATACAACTATCAGGGAACAGTATGTTTGTCTCATGGTTTCCGGGTTCAGCTTTTTCAGCTTTTCTTAGTGTACCCGGCACACATAATATGCCTAGCACACATAATAAGAAAGAATAGGGGGGGAGGGGGCTTTTTGTGTATTGAGACACACCAGCCATTCTAGTTAGTCTCTCAAGGACGTGTGTAAGTACTACATGTAGAAAGAAAATATGTTTACGCTTTTTCAACAAAGATAACATTGTCTGGAACTTGTTTTTTATTTAACCACTATCTAGACAAAAAGAAACTTAATTGGTCTAGGTGACCTGTATTTTTTATTACTTTCTTAATACAAAACAACTATTTCTTCCTCAGTCAAACTATAACTACATCAGTGGTGCATAGTATCCCGACGAGCAAGCCGCCGTCTTCGTACCAGGAGTCGGTGATCACCAACACAGACGCGATCGACACCAAGCAGACAAAAAAGCGCAAAGCCATATCTGCAGCTAACACGCCTGCTGCTACTCCAGTTGACTACACCTCCACCGCACCGCAAGTAGTGGTAAGTTTCTTGTTTTAAATACCATATTTGCAGGTCATACTAGCTCTAGGAGGTAACAGCTCAAAACAAAAAACCATTTAATTTCCCAACTTTTCATAGCAATGTCCTTGAACGACATAATTCGACAGGGCAATATAGGGTAGCGTTACTGCTTTAATACTTTTTAATACTTTTTAATACGCTAAAGTTGCCCTCTAAATACGCATCTGCGGTATCTTTTTCTTTTTTTGACGTTTATAAGTGGCAAGTTTTGGTCAAAATTAAATAAACTTTTTTATTTTAACTTTAATCCGTACTAGACATGTGAACTACCAAACCCATACAATAATGAGCCATAATCTAAGTTGACATAATGTTCAAAGTTGTGTGCATGTTCTCATGATTATTATTTTGTTTTATAGCCCAACGAGGTGAATCCGCCACCGAGTGTGTGGGAGGGGCCTCATCCCGGCAACAACGAGATACAACACGACCCCATGGATAAAATTATTAAGAAGGTACTTTATATGACCTTTATCGAATTATAATTAAACCTTTCATATAGGCTGAGATTAGTTTCCAGATTCCAGAAGACCATAGATCTACTCGAACAAAAATTGGCACTTTAATCTTTAACATTTTGCAAACGGATCCCTAAATCGAAAAATGGTCTTACAAACCCCTAAGCCATTTTAAAAGACCTATCCAACGGTATCCCACACGATGGGGTAGAAGAAGAAAAAGAATTCATCCCCACTTTATATTTATATATTTTTTTTACAAAATTTTATTCTAGTTTTTGTCCGGCGTGATTAATATACATACCTCCGCAAAACTACAGCTCTGTAGCATCAATAGTTTCCATGCAAAACCTCAGACAGACAGACAGACATATCAAAACTATAAGGGTTCCCTGTCAGGACTACGGAACCCTCAAAACCATACGTCATAGTTTGAATTTATTCAAATTTCTAGCATCTTGGCATTGGTGGTAAGAAAATATAAATTAACTGAAAATGCTTAAAGTTAGTTAAAATCGTAAACTTTATATTTGCGCAACATGTTGTGTCTTATCATCTAGTGCACCTAAGGAGGTCTCTTCCGGGATTAGATAAGAACTTCCTTTTGTAATTTTAGCTTAAGTCGCGCACTTTGCGTTTATTTGCGAACACATTGTACAAATAAGCTTTTTGTAAATATTTAGAAAACAGTGCTTCCTATAATAATCTGTAATACTGAGCCGGCGTTAGTAAAATAGATTGGAGAAAGTGCATAAATAAATGATAACTTATTCATGTATTCATTCGACTACAATAATTCAATAATATTCTGTTAATACAAGACACGTGACATTCGAATACATTGTCTCACGTTTTGTCGCGTCTAGAATCTCATTTGTATTGCTCTGAAATGCAGCGCTGAGGTCAACAGATTCAGACAAAAAATACATTAGATATTACTTAAAATCTTTTAGACTATTAAAAAAACGTAAAGCGTTACTCTTAAGGACCCTTTACATGTCTCAAAATATTTTTGCCCGACCACCGCTTCGGTACAAACATTTGGCAAGTGCTGAGAAGAAGTGCCGCAACAAACTTAGTCACCACAGTCGAAGAGTTTCGTATATAGCGGGCGGACGGGGTGGCATGGCTACTGATGTTGGGCTACTGATTTGAAGATGATAGTTCATAGTGCTAACTTGGATACGATTATACGGTGCGATTGTGGTCAAATAGCTGCCTTGTTGTGCATAAACAAAATCCCCCTCCTCCCCCCGCCCGTAACATGGCATATCAGGGGCCGTGCCCTGAAAATGTTGAAGGGATCCGTATAAAAATTGTGTCTTTCGCAGGCCAAAACGGATGGATCCGAGGCAGTGACCATGCCCGCACACTTTTCGAGCCTGAGTCCGGCGCCGCCGCCGCCACCGCCGCCGCCTGCGCACAGCCCGGCATCCAACCCTAGCCCCAGGTAGGGTTAAAGACATTTGTTTTCTCAAAAGAATTTACAAAATCTACTTAGCGCTCCTGCACACGACGCCGCTACCGCGCCGCCGCCGTGCCGTCGCTGCGCCTTTGCACTGTTTATACGCGCCGCGTGAACATCGCTGCCGCGGGAGAAATTATGCTTTGATGGCACGGTGGCGGCGCAGCGTCGGTTTTACGCGCGCGAATTGTGCGCGCGTATTTGCGACTTGCGACTACTTTTAGTGGGGATTTTACTTTGGGTGTCACGAACAATTTGACGCTGATTGTACACCCACACGCATAAAGTATTGCCAGTACAATATTGTTACTGCTCTGACGGAAGGTTCATGACCTCCGTTTGTAATGTCGTGATGTAAGCAGTTAGACAATTGTCAAACCTGGTTATGATATTGTCTCAAATGTCACAGACATCTGCCGAGCCAGGACCTTCGTTTCTAATATGTCGTGATATGCTGTGAACTGCTGTGTCAATAGGGATGTTTCCTGGGTAAAAATGCAACAGTTTTAATTAGTCCGTCAGTTAACTTATCAAAAAATATTGGACACGTATTTTTCACTTCAAACTAATGAAAATTTAAAGAGATAAACCGCGTCAAAAGAACAGGCCCGTGACGTCAAAGAGTGCTCAAAAGTGCAGCACTTAGTGACGTAGCACGGAACTTCACCGCACTATAACTTTGTAATTATTTTGATTAACAATTAAAAGTGTCCAATATTTTTTGATATTCAAATTGACGGACTCTAATTTTTTTTAGGAAACTAGTTGTGTCATATAGATGACCCACGATGAACTGTCCCACCAAACTCAATGACCGGAGGGCGCTACCACCGTTCAACTATATGGTTTCCAACATGGCAAAAATCTGAACCAGCGATCCGGTATTGACGGTGGCGCCCCACTGTCAATGTCATGGATAGGACAGTTCAGTATTTTGGAACTATAGTATCTATCTCAACTGTCACTGTGTACCTCTCAGGCACCTGCCGAGCCCGATGCCAGGTCCCAGCGGCATGAATACAGCGTCCACAATTCGCTCACCCCAACCTCCCCCACAGGTTAGTTACAACATTGACTTTACGCTTCATTGTGTATCAGTTCGTATCAGTCTTTTTTAATGTCACCGAAAATATTGGCAGATACAAATCAAATAATATCCTAAAGTTCCCATGTAAAATCAAATTTGTGTCTGCTAGTATATTCAAATTTAATAATTTGCATACTCAGTTTAGCTCAATCACAGATTTTATTCAAAAATATTTTTGACGCATGATTTATTTTGATTTAAAATCTTGAAAAGATCCTATTACTTATTCACGATTAAAGTATACAGTTAGGTGAAATGCTTCAGCTTTGCTTCCGTTATTAATTTTATATGAGGCAACGCTTTGGGGTTAAATAACAACGCAATTTTAAACGCTTCGACTTATTTCAAGAAGGATCTTTGGGTCAGCAATAAAATGCGACCTGCTTTTTAAAAATATTATATTTTCATCTATTTTTATATATTAGTAAATCCATATTTTGCTGCTACGACTCATTTTACTTTAAATATGTTTTGAATCGTCTCAAAAATTGAGTTTTAGTAATTGAGTTTGTGGACAAAACGTCACAAGTTTGATAAGTAAACTCAAGTTACGACGAGCTGCATTATTGTGTTCCCTCAACAGTTTGTTTGCATCCACGAGTGTGTCGTCACGATTTGAGTTTTTTAATCTCTTCTAAAATTTTGTAAAGTACCTTTATTCTAAGGACATACCAGTTCTGTTTATTAATTTTTATATTATATCTATTTTTTTATTGTTTCCGAGTTCATTTGTCTAAAAAATAATATTTTAACGTTATTTGTTAGGTATTTCTAGGGCTCACTCATTTGGATTACCTTACATGAACAACGACATTAATTCTAACCAGCTCGTGAGTGTTAAAAAGAAATATGTGTTCCCTAGTTTGTCGCTTAACAGCAAGCATAGAGTTGGATTTTTATGACGTGATCTAAAAATATGGATTGCAATAAACATCAATTTTGCAAACCTGTAATAAACCTGCTAATTTGATTATTAGACTATTCTACACTTGAGATGCTTGAGATACGTTTTTTTTTGCATCTAATCAATTAATTTCAAATGCATAATATTCCTCAAAACACATAAGAATTATATGTAATCTATATACTCAATATTTAATGTATATTTTAGATCTGAGACGTCCCAAGATTCGTGCAGTCAAGACATGTAATTTTCTGCCTTACTGATGATGATGCGATGTTCTGTACACTTACGATCACGAAATAAAAATCCGACCTTAGCATGATGTACCGCGGCCGCTTGACCCTACCGTGTTAACGCTAGCTAGTACTAATAGCGTGGGTTGTGTAGGCCGGGAAGGAGCGCAATGTGCAGGGGCATAGGTCGCTGCTCGTCTCCGTGCCCTTACCGTCTACCAGCCATGGACTCAACCTCTCGACGCACGCGCAGGTTCCATCATTACAGACAAGGGTTATTGGCATTTTCATATTTGACAGCTGCAGTTGCTAACAAACAAAATACTAACGATCAATTTATTAGACACTCGATGTTGTATGCTACCACTGTTTTGATTGCTTTACTACTCAACAATCGATCTCTTACATTTAAACGCCACTGATTATGGAGTTTGTCCATTCAGTAATTTATATAACGAGTGTTTATCACTACAAACTGTCAGAAAGATTCAAAATACAGTGGCAGGATATTTTCAGACCTACGGTGCGGAGACTGTGTCAAATTCATAGAAAAAGAAATCGATTAGAGAATTATTAGTTACTTTAAAACACTAGATGATTACCTATATGATTTCAAGACTGTGATGTGTGTTCCACATCAGGGTCTTTTCCAATAATTGGCTTTTTAACCGAAATTAAAAGGTGCCTTTGAAACTAATGGTTCGCACCGTACGTGTCGTAGTGTCTATAGAGCCGACGGATGTACACGCAACCATCACGAATGGTAGGATACAAAGTGAAAAAAGTGGCTAATACTTCTTACCAAATTTAAATTAGGGATTATATTTTACCACATTATCAGCAAGTCAGAACTCAACCAAATTTTAGTACCGCATTCGGCTTCTCAACATTTTATCATATTTATTTATCAGTAGATCATCTTCATAGTGGGACTAGAGGGGTGGTTTCTTTTTAACACTTCATTACTAATATCCACTAGATTAGTATCAAATTGAGAAACACATATTTTTTATTTGATTTTGTTTCCGTTTCCTTTGTGATTTCATTCATTGCATGTATTTTTACATTTCGTTATAATCTTTTACCTCGTTGTGTGTACATGCGTGTCCTTTGTATCAGTCTAATGTGATAGTTATCCACGATCCAACTTCTATGATAACATGGCGTTCCTCCAAAATTGCTTGTTTGTGAAATGTTTTCCATCACCTGAACTAATTATTTCATTTGATTGTCCAACGGCATTGTCACTAACATGAGTATAAAATATGTCATTTATTTTAGTATCATCAGGAATACTTTGAATTATTTTGACGATTAAAATAACGCATACAGATGACCCACGCTGAACTGTCCCACCAAACTCAATGACAGGGGGGCGCTACCATCGTCCAACTATATGGTTTCCAACATGGCAAAAATCGGAACCAGCGATCCGGTATTGACGGTGGCGCCCCACTGTCAATGTCATGGATAGGACAGTTCAGTATTTTGGAACTATATCAAATTTGATTTAAGAGGATGTCATGTTAGCATAGAAAAACTAGGTTATAGGTATAAAGTATAATTATACTTTATACGTTAACTTACTAACACACGCTTACCAAGCGGGAGAGCGTGTGCGCATGATTTAATTACTTCAGTAATTTTGCTTAGCTTCCGCCGTTACAGAATTTAAGTTAAATTATATTCGATTGAACTCGTGAGATGTGCAACTGTTAACCCAGTATTATATTCAAATCTTGGCCATTATTAGTGAAATTGTTTTGACTTGAAAATTATATCAGTTTGTCTCGGAAACTGTCGCACATCTACCGGGGTCACTATCTTAGCATATTTTATTCGGGAGAAGTATCACTATCTATCAGTTAACACTTGATCAATAATTTCAAGATAATATATGTACCACAGGTGTATTTGCATGCACAAAACAATAAAAATCTGATTCAAGTTATTGTCTTTAGGTGTTCCGTCCAATAAGATTCAATCGATAATGTGCCCGCTTTTGACTTGAAGTCGTATTTTTGAAACATGTGAATAATTCGTTTGCTAAATTAACCATCTGTTAAAATTCGTATAATCTTCAAAAATACGCCTCATGTACATAAATATAATAATGTGGTTTAAAACATTGTCTTAGAATCTCATATTTTAACTGAAATTATTAAGACTTCTCCTTAGTCATTGTTTGAACCTGATACACAATAACCAAACATATAATACTATGTAGTAATTGATTTATTATGTACATAATAGGTATCCGCTGCCTCAGACTTGTCGAGGCTCTCCCCTCACATATTCCATCAACCGCAGAAGCTGGTAAGTGTAGTTTTGTTTTATTTCTATCATTAATGTGCCCGCGACTTCGTACGCGGGGTTACTTTCACAGACGAGCCAATTTATGTATGTTCAAAGTATGTATGGAATGCGTTCAATCCGTATTAATTGGTTATCTATAACTATGTAGGAGTGTAGGTATAAAAATGTGCAATAAATAGCTACAATAATAGAAAATATCGACCCAGATAAAAAAATTAGAAGTCACTATACGAGGACTTAAAGGGACTATTTAAATGTAAAAAAAAAAAACATACTGAACTTGAGTTATTATTATGCAACATTATTACATATTAACATTGTTGGCTTCAGGATAGTTCAGAAAAAAATATTATATGGCGAAATCTTAATAATTCCGAATTGTATTCTCTCACGCAAACTAGAAAAGTATTAAACCGAAGGTGTAGATTACACTATCAAAACGATAAGCACTTTCTAAGAACTTCTAAAGATAAAAAATGAAGGGAACACTTTAACACAATACAAGACCCCTAGGGGCACACGCAACTGTTGCAAGGGCTCAATAGGGTTACCGCGGCCTTGCTGTAAACTCATACAAAAGTACTTTCCAATTTAATGCGGCAGTAAAAATTGTTTTAGAATCACCAACGAACTGTCTAGAACATTCCCCCGTACATAATTACTTTATTACGGAACGTAACAGTTTATTTAAACAACGGACACTATTAACTTATAACAAAAAAGTAAAGCGGCATGTAAACTGCGAAAAAAAATGACTGTACATTTTTGAAAAATATCATAAACAATCCTAAGACAATAAATTAAAAAATCGTGCGTTCAATTCTTAGAACCGTATCTTCTATTGCGTCCTATCCTAGCAAGTCGCAAGCGTACCTGCCCGTTTTTCTACCTGCTCGTCTCCATAAAGCACGGTGAAGTTTAACTGTATTATCATTTAAAATAGAACCTAGTTGCATTGAAATAGAGTCCGTTTGGGTGTAAAGCGGCGAGTGGTAGCTTTAGGCGTGCGCAGACGCACATGTGCGCCTCAGTATAGCATCCGCGGCCGCGTGGTCAACATCTGCCGCAAACATTTGGCGCTCCTATACTTATCATACCCATGCCCATGCCGCGATGCCGCGCGCTAACCGCAAGTGCTCTGCCCTCGGCGTTGGTATGAATCCACTACTAAATACACGTTCGTATTATTCCAACACGTTTTATCAAGCGCAATGGTAAGTTTATAAACTTTGTTAACTTATCAAAACTTACTAAAACATACAAAATGCACTTTCGATATTGATATTGTGTAGTCATAATGCAAAGTAAATAATCCACGCCAGTGTTTGATTGTTGTGTTATCGTTAAACTGATAATATGTCTGGTTATGTTAGTGATTTTATTATCCTGCTTTTGACGTTTTTCGTTATTTTGTTGTTGTTTATTTGGCAAATTCTGTTTAAATGATAATTTAGTTACTTATTCTATTAATAAGCAGGAATTAATTAAAATTTAAAATTTAATCGTACGCGTAACACGATATGTGTTTGTTATTATTATTATTATAGGTTATTATTGATTTAGGTACGTTTAATAAACAGAAATAACACATATTATTCCTCAAACCCAATCATTTACCTTTTGTAAAGTGATGATAAATATGATTATTCTATTTGGTATTCACCAAAACAGCTTGTTTGAATACTCCTATTTGCATATTTAAATGATAATTTAAATTGTTTAAATTCACGTTTATTTGCCAAAAATAACTTACTTCATTTGGCAGTTACTTAACATAAATACATTGTCAATTCTTCCGTAAGAGAGTAGTAGGTTTTTACGAGAAAATAGTGTATCCCTAGTTGTGTGGTTGCGGAAAGTAATATTTAACGTAGAAATAAAAACTCTTTCATACGAGTTAATCTAAAAAAGCTCTAGCAAAGCAGGTTGGGCCCAGGCAATAGTTTTCAGCAACCGTTGACCTATTATTAGCACATATCCTGCGTTTTAGGGATTCACTCTGTAATTGCAGAGTATGTGCCATTTTTCCCCATATAAAAATACTTTGGATTGTAGGTTACGCTATTCGCTAATAATATTGTGTTATTAAACGTCACGCAATATGGTCGAGGGGGATAATATGTATGTTATTTTATTGTCATTACAATAACCCACAAAAGAGCAATCGGACGTGTATAATTTTGCGAATAAGTTGAATAAAGTGAGTCACCCTTCAAGAAGTCCCAGAGTGATAGCCAATCCGCTAACTGATAATGATAACCATTTAAAGTGAGGCCTTAAGTTTATGAACAGGAGTCGCACCGACTTCAGTCCAAACGTAGACGACCTCGAAGAAACATCTCACAACTCAACAACACATATTACAGTAGGCAGTGCTTCAAAAAATTGTGTAAATAAAGACTAACTAGTGAGGTGAGGGTGCATAAGAAATTGCTGTTTTTTGCTCAATTTGCAAACAAAACGTTTGAAATGGGCGTTATGATAATAGCTCTTCTTTACTTCTGGGATCTTCAAGGTCTTTGAAAGATGTTTGTCGTAACGTGAACGTGTTGTTTTTCAGGCGGCTATGGAGCCTAGTATGTCCAGTCACATCCCGCACAACGTTCCCGGCCGCTCGGCGTGGGGAGGTCTAAACGTCGCCTACGAGATGCAACAGGATCCCAACAAGCCAGGGTAAGTGAAGTCACTTGATTGATTGTTTCTGTACGAGAAATTGCATGCGATTTATTCCCATGGTTTGCAACGATTCTTTTGAACAACTCCGCAGGAAGCTCTTGAGTTGATGTCTGTAATAAGATAATGTTGGAACTCATTCCAACCCGTCCTCGAACCCCGCTGTGGGCAATTCAAACTTTTTTTTAAACATGACCTGCTTTTTGTGAGACAATTGGTGCAATTGTCTGTAGTATTATTTATTTTGTATTTAGTCCACGACAATCAATTCAAACTGTTACAATCGATTCAATACCAGAGAATGACAACAATCTATTCGAGTCCATTTTATAATTATTTTGTTTGTAATACATTGATTTGTTTCTCCAATTGTTGTTGTATTCTAAAGTAGATATCTTATCACTGTTGTTATACGTTTCTAGGTAATGTGCACTTTTTATGTTGAAAAGCGCGCGAAATATTGCTAAGCGAATTATAGATCGTTTCATCCACGAAGACGTTCTCCACCATTCTTCCGCTAATATTTGAGTGTTATCGGTACACGCTAAGTCATCCATGAGTGCACACGAACACTACATTAACGCTCGGATTGATCGGATTAAACTCGCCGCACCCCGCGCTTTCCTGGACCAAAAATTGGTGGGGCGCGTCTTCGTCGAAGAAACGATCAATAGCGAATAAGCCAGTGTTGCAGTGCGTAAATGAATTTATCCTGAAACTGATTGCCCTGCTTGAACGTAATTATAGGATCAGGAAAAATGTAAATTGTTCAGTTGTGTCGCGCTTAGCGTATGTTTATTCTCAATTTGCTGGCATAAGAGCGGTTACCTAAATACATTTGGCAGGCGTAGGACGTTGCGGGTTCAAATCCCGTTTAATACGACGTGTATTCTAGAATCCTTTCTCTGAATCTGGAACAAAAGAATTGCATGGATATAATTAAAATTGCAAGTAATTTAGGACAGAAGAAAATATAGCGTAGCTCATGTTAGGTTGCATTTGCGAGAGAAGCGTAATAATTGTATTTGCATAATGCATGTTTTATCAACTTTTGTGTGTTACTGGGAGCAGAGCGTATAGAAAAATTAAATGAAAATAATTATACGTAAAGATTAAATGGCCACCTGGTTAAATGGCTCAACCTGTGGGTTCAAATCCCACATGGTTCGAAATGAGTAAAAAAGTATTTATAAATTACTATTGCTATAGCGTAAACTTTGCTTTGTTTGGAGCAGCACCTGTATCTGATCTGCAAAGAAAAATTTAATAAAAATTTAAGTAAAGGGTAAGTAAATGGCCACCTGGTTAAGTGGTTCATCCTGTGGGTTCAATTCCCGCATTATTCTTCTAAATGAGTAAATTATGCATTTTTATATTATAATTTATATTGCTATTGCGCAAACTCCTTAGTTTTGAGGCAGCATCTGCAACTGGTGTATTATGCTTAATTAAAAAGAATGTTGGCAGGAATTGTACAAGAGCTTTATTTTATTGGGATTCGTGGTGTATGTTGGGGTCAGTAATGATGATGATGATGGTGGTGGCGATGATGATGTTGTGAACTCTAATTTTAGAATTATTTAATGTGTGTGATGCTAATAACAACTCTGCGAGCTTTGCGATGTATGATTTCCTTTTTTGCTATGCAAAATTATACTTTTCAGATATTTCCTATAGCTAGTATTTTTACTGTAGGTTTGTAAATAATATATGGGTTCAAATCCTGAAAAAAAAATATATTGAGTCCTCTTCAAACTATAACGATATAATTACAATATGCGTAGTAATTATCCGTGTCAGCAATAGAATAAGCGTTCATTGACATCTTATTAATATGTGTCAGCGAATCTAAATGTTTACACAGCACATTTTGTCATCCGATCCCGCGTTGCAGAAAATGTAGCGTGCATGCACTTTACTATTGCGTTTCATTCGTTGTTTAACCGTGCAAGATGAGTGAGCTACTGCGTTACATGTTCGACCGTTTGGCCAACAGAGTGAGCGGTGTGCCTGGTACCAGCAAAGACATCAACCTGGCAGGTATACCGATGCCGCCGGCCGCGATCCGGACGAAGAAACGCGCGGCGATGGCCGCCTCAGTCGTCAACATGGCCACCGCGCCGCCGCCGCCGACGCCGATGCGTGAGTCTTTTGTCTTTTTACTTGATTGTGTGCGTGAGCTTCCAAGTTTATGTTGCATTTCGCATGTTGTTGAGCGTCTGCTGTTTATTTAGTGTTGAATCTAAACAATAGACTAGTTGAATCATTAAAGTCGATGTTGTTAGGAATGTGTTGTTTGAAAACTTAACCTTTAGAAATCTAGTAATTTTTCATTTACTCACTTCGTAAACTCTTGACAGTATTATACGCAATAAAATACAAAAAAGACACAATAAATAATGTTTGTGGATAAATTATAAGTATTTCTCGGAAGTCTCTTATCAATTTAGCACTTGAAAGTTCAAAGATAGTAGCGTTATTTGTGACGTGATAACTATTACTTAAGTGACTTTGGCAGAATGTTTAACGGGTAATAGGCAAAAAAGGATAACTTTTCTTTAAGGAACAAGACATGCTTCTGTGTTGTGTTATCGTGACGCGAACAAATGAGTCGCTAAAAAGCAAAGAAAACGTATGCTTGCTTTAAATGTTGTGATTTCTATGACGGTGGGTTTAGTATAAATGGCAATAGAGTTGACAAAAGTTATCAAAATAACAAGAACGAGCAAACAATGCTCCAGATCTATGCTCGTTTAGTTTAACTAAACCCACCTTTTTATGTCCAATATTTTCTATCACATTCTAATATTGCCAATATACTGTTTCAAGGTGGTGCATACAAAAATCGACTCAGAGGTGACGAACCTTTCTTATTTCACCACTGTAGATTGTGTTGACTGTTGAATGGGGTGCTGATGAGTGTATTCTGCTTTAGGCTCGGTGACTGAGACCGTGACGTCGCAAAGTCTGGCCAATGTGAGGCGCGCGCCGCAGCCGACGCCGCCGCCTCTGTACCAAGAAACTATCAGAGACTCCCCGCCCGTATCGCCGAGTAAGTGATCGTGATCTATTTTTTTTTCTCTTTCTCCCCTTGGTGATATTCTTATATTAAAATTGATCCAATTACAGGCCTAATCTAAAGTACGGCCAACGAGAAGCGATACCAAATGTAAACAAACCCAATGTCATGGGCGAACCCGTCTGACTTTGATATATTTTGGCGGGAGAACGAGGCATTACGACAAATACACAAGATGTGAAGAGACAGATTATGTTGTCAACTCGACAGTCGTATCGACCTTTTATATCGCTGCTAGTGAGCCGTACTTTGGAAACGAGTTTGATACTTTATTTTAGAATACAGGCGCTTTAAATTTGATTTCCAAACCGTCAAGAAAGAAAGTCTCGAGGCAGTAGCAGAGTAATTTAGTCTGATGTATTCAAAATTGTCGTACTCTGAAAAAGTATTGACAATTTAGTTTTTGTTATGATATACATACTTATCTGTTTACCGACAAAAATAGATTAATGAATACTTTTTATTATAACATATTTCTTTTATTTCCAGGTTCAGAACGTCCGTTGAGGCAAAAATTGGACGCTAAGTAAGTATTCTGGGAATATTATATTGATTTATAAGATACTTCGTATATTATTATGGTAGTCACGCTACAAAAACGCGCACAACTCTAGACGTTAGTTAAAACTAGCAGAAAGCTTTAGTGATAGCAAAATAAACACAGGCAAACTTATGGGGTTTATTCGAATAATTTCGGCAATGTTCAATTCAAAGTAATTTTGTGGCAACATATCATTTTGGCAACAAAACTCGTTAATGTCAAAACTAAAGAAATACGTCAATAAATGCGTTTTCTTATAATGATTGTATCATCAATCATAAAAGTATGAAGCACTCCATACCATTATCGCCAATGCAACGTAACCCTTGTGTTAGCTAAGTTTTGCGTCATGGAATTGAATTGCCTTATAATTATTGAGTCACTACTGTACATTACTCTTCCGTTCTGTGAGCATACCATGCTACTGCGTATTTCCAGCAGGTGCCTCGAGCACTAGAATCCTGCGTATATTGAAAGTAAAATAAAATCTTGGCCATATTGGTAGCGTTCTCTTAAAGGATCATCCTCCAGTGAATACGGAAAGTTCCCAAACATTGTAAAAGTAGTATTTTCAGCCGACTAGGCGTGAACTGCACGGCGCCGCATATGCTGGGCAACGAGCTCAATCCCGAGAGCGGAGCCGCCGCCCGCCTGCAGGAGCAGCTGACGGCCGAGCTGGCGGCGCACGCGGCCGGCGGCGCCGGGCCCGACTCGCTGGTGCCGCCGCCGCTCATCAACAAGGCGGCCGCGGTGAGTGACGTCACCTCCACAGCTGGCCCTAGAGCCGCCGCCTGCAGGAGCAGCTGACGGCCGAGCTGGCGGCGCACGCGGCCGGCGGCGCCGGGCCCGACTCGCTGGTGCCGCCGCCGCTCATCAACAAGGCGGCCGCGGTGAGTGACGTCACCTCCACAGCTGGCCCGAGAGCCGCCGCCTGCAGGAGCAGCTGACGGCCGAGCTGGCGGCGCACGCGGCCGGCGGCGCCGGGCCCGACTCGCTGGTGCCGCCGCCGCTCATCAACAAGGCGGCCGCGGTGAGTGACGTCATCATCATCACAAAACGTCCAATGGTAAACGTAGGCCTCCCACAATGATTTCCAGATTGACCGATTGGACCAGCCTGCATCCAGCGCATTCCTGCAATCTTTATAAGGTGAACATATGGACCCAATATTGTCATTATCATCTTTTTAGGTACAGTTGTCTGGTAATTTGCTAATAGAAAAGCTCTTGGCCTGCATTCCACTTAATCGACACTTGACAGTAATGGTCAAGCCGAAGGTGGAAGCGAGCTTTACCCGAAACCCTCGTCCACAGAGGATCTGGCTATCTTACCTCCAACTGGCGAGACGCTGTTAATGTGGTTGTCTACTCACGGACATTGCCCGCGGGCGGCGTGACCGGAGGGAGCGGCGAGCGTTCGGCGAACGAACGAGCAATGAACGAATGATCCTGACGCACTCTCTTCAACGACTTTGCACTAAACGGTCTCGATAATCTTGTAAAGGACAATGACCAAAAGTGGTCCAAATGTCCACCACCAATGAGACCTATATTGGCTTATAGTCCTTTAAATAGAGATTAACTTTCAGTATGGGACGAAAAAAAAAATAAGCTGTCAGTAAAAAGTTATGACTGTTTAAAAATTGTAGTAGTTTACGCGCTAATCTCAGGCACTACTGGTCCGATTTGAAAAATTCTTTTTGTTATGGATAGCCTATTTATCAAGGATGGTTTTAAGATAAATAACATCACCCTACAACCAATAGGGGCGGAGCAGTAAAGACAAATGTTGTAAAAATGGGAAATATTATTCAAACAATTTTCACGCGTACAAAGTCGTAGGCACAGTTAGTATAATATTTAATAAAATTCATCTATAACCCCGCGCCACATGCGACATGACATAACATGCGTAGATTAGTCCAAAATGTGCAATGAATAGAATGATATCAAGAACATTTTTCGGATGAAAAGGTAAAAAACAGACTTTTCATTCAGTCATAACTTTTTACTGACAGCATATTTTTGATTGCGGTTTGGTTATAATGAATCAGTATTTAGTAGACTATTTTACTACATAGGTTTCGTTAGTGGTGGACATTTGGACCACACTCCATACATTTTTGGTCATTGTCCTTTATACCGAATAGACAATTATTTTCATACAGTCCACTCTTTTCATTTATTAACTTCCACTACACTCACTATCGAAGTAACTGGTGATTGGTGGACTTGGTGGTAGCTAGCCAGCAGAACTTAGAACAAGCATCACAAAGGCAGTCACAACACGTCAATTTGTATTTTATAAGACTCATGAATTTATTTATAAATAACTTATTGTTTTTTATTTCTGTTGTCTGGTACCCATAATACAAGCTTTGCTTAGTTTGGGACTAGAAACGTAGTGTAAAATGTCTAATGATATTTTAAATTTTATTTATTTATCTATTATTTCGCAGAGCGGCGGGCAAGGCCGCGGCACTTCCAGCGCCCAGAGCCTCGACCAGCTGCTAGAAAGGCAGTGGGAGCAGGGCTCACAGTTCCTCATGGAGCAAGCGCAGCATTTCGACAGTAAGTACCTTCTTATATTTCGCCATTGTTTGACTTGACTTACTATTCCCATTCCCACCTCTCGTTCCCACCGCCGCAACTCCTGTGTAGCCAAGATGAAAGATGTGCTTGAATTGACTTGTTATCCAACGTTAAAAGCTATCGGGGATTTAAATTCGGTATCTTGAAAGATATACATACTGTCCCAAAATTCAACGATAAGCCGGTGCCGTAGGGGCATAGTGACTACTTTATGAAAAATAAGAAAAAAATAATTATTCTGACCGTATCTTATTTCAACCGGCAGACAATGGTGACTGAATTTGTAACGGCGCTTCTTCTCAGCACTTGCCAAATGTTGGTCTCGAAGCGCTGGTAGGGCAGAAAGATTGAGAGATGTGAAGGCTCCATAAGAGCAAGACTTAAAGATTTTTTTTAATTATTTTTTTTATTTTAATATTTGACTATTTGTAAGCGCTATTTTTAATAGGCGTAGATTATACACCCACTTAATAATACGTACTGGGCCTACGTGGTAGTGTTTATTGACCACCCTACAGTTGACTACAGTTACTGAGGTCTGTGAACGTAGGCTCATTGTGTTTTTGCTCTTCTAATAGAGCTATATTGTGAAAATAAGTTATCTTGTTGATATATCATACAGATAGGCTGGGTTCAAAAGGGCTGCGGGACTAATCCCACCTCTCTTTTCCACCCCTGTATAGCCAAGATCTACAGCGCGACCTTCAATGAAACTCAACCAGTGAATATGAAATAGTCCCGAGGGATAGCTTACCGCCTTAAATGATTGATCCCGCAACGAATTTAAGTTCTATATTGAATTTAAACTTAAGTTAAAAAATTTATAAAATTCTGCTAAAAGTATATTTATTAAGTTACTAGCAAACATTTTGTATCTTGCATTAACTATAGGAAGGTGGGTATTCACACATCTGCAATTCATAGCGATTCTGTTAAATCAAATAAATCTGGGAAAAGTTAACCCGAAAAACAAGAAAAAATTAAAGCCTAATAATATCAAAAATAAAAAAAAAATACAAACATCAGCTTGACACCTTACAGGAAACACCCTAAGAAGGGCTATCCTAAGGTCCGGTTCCCGCCAAAGCGGAGAGGAATGGTGTTTGAATAACCAATCAGAATTCATTAATACTTTGACCTAACGTTCTATATTACAGTCGCATCACTGCTATCATGCCTGCACCAGCTGCGCACTGAGAACGTGCGACTTGAGGAACACGTCGGCAACCTGCTTCAACGCCGCGACCACTTGTTGGCTGTCAACGCGCGACTCGCCATACCGCTTTCCACCGGACAATATGTAGACGGTGTACAGATGCACACTGGTAATCATCCATTTTGATCGGGCACTTTCAAATAAACAGTAGCAGATGCTTGCTACTGTTTATTTCAAAGTGCCCGCTCTACCGAGATTCGGTTCGTACGCCGTGAGGCAGGTAGAACCGTGGAATGGTGGAGGGATTGTTCGTTTCAACCAAAAGACGGACTGCTGGAGAAACGCCACCTAGACCACCATCCGGATCCGATATACCGCTTACCATCAGACAAACGTAGATGGTGTACGAATGCACGCTGGTAAATATCTAATTTAAGGGCCGAAAGAGGTGATAATGGAAAAGCCCTTATTTGATGATCTACTCACTCCTGGCCATCGTCTAAATTGGAACGATGCCAGCGGTCACATCGGAAAAATATATTTGACGGCGGAAGGATGTACAGATGCACACTAGAGAACCTAGTCACCTGATACTGTTGGTTTTAACCAAAGAACTTCAACTGTTGGACAAACGACACCTCCAAAGATTTCCAACAGTTAGTCCTGCACAGCTTGCATCCAAGAGGCCTGACTACATACGTCTTCCACCGCACCAGTCACCGCTTAAAGTTTATTACGGATGGCTGTAATGGCGGACGCAGTCGCATCCCTGTTCATCTGTTACGTGTACTGAGGGAGACGATGATAGAAGAAGAACCTTATGTGATCATCAACCTGTCATCAGCTTAAAATGATGCTTGCAGTCTCATCCTTGTTCCTGTATTAATAAGAACTACGTTGGTGACCTACAGCGGATAAAACTATTTTAATTAATCCGACACCTCTTATTATCCATTCTATGCGTCATAAAGGTGTCAATGGTCGCAATCCAGCTCTCCTGTGTCCATCACTGGGTATCGTTAATTTATCAGACTTTTAGTTTTTAGCTCTTTTAGTTAAATGATTCATTTTCTTGTATGCGTGTTTGTCATATTGGTTGTCCTTATAAAAAATCCTACTAATATTATAAAGGCGAAAGTTTGGATGTCATGATGTCTGGATGTTTGTTACTCTTTCGCGCTAAAATTACTGAACGGATTTTGTTGAAACTTTACAGTATTATTGTTTATATCCCAGATTAACATACAGGCTATAATATATGACGATACGTGACAAATAAATTTCAATAAACAAATAAGACGTGTCTAAAAGCGCCATATATCGTCATTGGTTAAAATCTACAGCGCTGGACAAACTACGGTTTTTGACGTTCGTAAATATTCATGTGGTCCCATCAAACGACATCTACATGATATCTAACGGGGGTAAAACGAGGTCCACGCGTACGATCTCGCGGGCGGCCGCTAGTATAAAATGAAAATAAGAGACATTTCTAACACTTGTGTTTCGCATGAGTTCTCGACTGTCGACCTTACCACGTAAGTCATGGGTGTATTTTCGCGTGCAGCGTACAACGCCAGCGGAGTCCCGGTGTCGGGGCCGCCGGGCCCGGACCCGCCGCGTCTGCAGCGCGACAACTCGCAGGTGCGAGCGCCGTCGGCATCCGTGCGGGCACCCGAGACCATCACTTCGGAGCGCCCACACCAGGTACAATAGAATATTGTTTACTAGCTGACCCGGCGAACTTTGTTCCGCCTTAATGGCAATAAATAACGGGATAAAAAGTATCCTATGTCCTTCTCCTGGCTCTAAACTACCTCCCTGACAATTTTCAGCTAAATCGGTTCAGCCGTTCTTGAGTTATAAGTGGAGTAACTAACACGACTTTCTTTTATATACAGGGTGGAAACGATAAGTGATCTCACTCGATTATTTCTAAACTACATAAGATATCCAAAAACTGATTACTGATCCTAAAAGTGCTTCACGAGCTCTATCCAACGGTACCAATAATAGGTTACAAAATTAACTGCATCTATCTGAAAATTCAATGTTTCCAGCCTCCATACATTTAGTAAAACCACATAATATTAAAAACTATACAATATATCGAAAAACTGGTAACTGATCCTGAAAGTGCTTCACGAGCTCTATTCAACGGTACCAATAATAAGTTATAAAATAAACTGGATCTATCCGAAAATTAAATGTTTCCAGCTTTCATACATTTAGTACGGCCGCAGTCATGGCACGCATGTCTTGATAATATTATAGCCAGTAAAGCCTGACCAATGTTTTCCATGAATAATTTTAAACTGGAATGCAATTTACGAGTTAATTTTAAGTGTTTATTATTTATTTAAAAAAAAAATTAACACTTCCAATATTGTGTGACTGGCATACATTTAGTATGGAGGCTGAAAACATTGAATTTTCGGAGAGATCCAGTTAATTCTGTATTCCATTACTGATATCGTTTGAAAGAGCTCGTGAAGCACTTTCAGGATCAGTAATCAGTTTTTCGATATCTTGTATAGTTTAGAATTAACCGCGTGAGATCACTTATCGTTTCCACCCTGTATATAGATTTAACACAATCTATACTTCTAAAGCCTGGTCCGTGCGCACGTAGAATCCCGTCCAATGACCCCAAGCTACCCATCCTTACCGCTCGCGCGTAATTATATTGCTGTCGCGACTGTGCGACGCGCGCCCGCAGTGAGTGTGCGAGCGCGACAGCAACATAATTACGTGCGAGCGACAAGGATGGGCAGCTTGAGGTCATTGGACGGGATTCTACGTGCTCACGGACCAGGCTTTATACTAATATTATATATGCGAAAGTAACTCTGTCTGTCTCTCTTTCACGTCTAAACCACTGAACCGATTTTGATGAAACTTTTATTATATAGAGATAGTTTGAGTCCCGGGAAAGGACAGGATAGTTTTTATCCCGGTTTTTGAAACAGGAACGCGCGTATTAAAGTTTTTCTGTGACAGACAAAATTACACGCGGGCGAAGCCGCGGGCGGAAAGCTAGTACACAATACAAGACACAGGCACAATACAAGATAAAACCAGGCCTGTTCATCTCCGCGAGTTTACATCGAAAACAAAACACGCACGATGACCCACCTACAGGATACTATTCGACAAGGCCTCACATACGAGCGAACATTGACTCACGCACGCGTATTCTTGTGTATGATGGAAGAAAATAAAGAAGATGGTGTACTAAATACTGTGCAGTATTTAACTGCCTAAATAATATAAAAACATAGAATGTACTTTTTTAAGTTGCCTCAAGACACTGAGAGGTAAATAAGTAGTTAATATTATTCATGATAATTCATGCTAAATCATGTATTTCCTCCCCCATTTTCTGCAGTTTGGCACCTCACGTCACATCATTTTACCGAAGTCAGCCCTATAGCTTCGGCGCAGTACCAATCACTGACGTTTGTCAACAAAACGGTGCTTGACTCTTGAGACAAACTAAATTACACCATAATATTGTTAATGACATTGAGCTTACATTTTTTAAATACCTTCGCGAAGTAAAACTTCTGTACGTAGTACTTATTATTATTCTGTGGCCATACCCGTCCACTGCTGAACATAGGCCACCCACAACGCTTTTCATGTTGCCCGGTTGGTAGCGGCCTACGTCGAACGCCTTCCTGCTTCGATTTCGTCGGTCCTTGTGGGTGGACGACCCACGCTGCGTTTTCCGGTACGCTGCCTCCACTCCAGAGAGCTCATGAAAAATATTTCAGTTGACCAGGGTGTCAACTACCTTATTGTGAGCACACAAGAGCACACTTCAAGAGCGCTTGCTCATTAGGGCGTTAGTAGCGCGACTGCAGCGCGGCAGCGGCGTTTTTATAATGTGAAGGTAGGCATCCGCTGTCATATATGAAGTTATCGATAGCGCATCTGTCGCGCAACCCAACCCAACTCCGGACTGACTAAACATGACTGCCTGAAAGCTCCCTGGCATCCAGGAACCGCCCGTTCGCTGGTCGTTCACTGGGCCTCGACCAACGTCGACTCACCCGGTGGGACAGTGGTGCCAGGTAGAAGCCCAGGTCAGTCCGTCGCCAAAGCGACGCCTCAACCACCGACTGGCAGTAGCCAGCCGAGAAGAAGCACGGGCCATGAGCACCAGCTCGACGCCCGAACCAGCCAAAAGGTCGAAGACCTGATAGCTAGCGCTACTAGTGAAAATATTAATAAAATGTAAAACCGCTCTAAGCAATCTCTATTTCCCTAGCTCATGATGCGGGAGGTGCAGCAAAAGCCCAGCTGAAATGAGTTTCGCGGCGGCGGGGACGGCCGGGGCCCGCCCGCGGCCCCGGACGGGCCCGAGGCGCTGCACGCCGTCCAGACGTACATCATGTACGAGCAGCGGCGGCGGCCCGACTTCTCCATCGACTCCATACTCAAGTACGACCACTAAGCCACCGGAGACCACCCGACGCCCGTAGTTACAGTGAAGTGCGCACGCTCGGCTATACCGCCCGCCAAGTCAACAATATTGCGCCAATATTCTCAATATCGCCTGATTATGAATATTGCCGCAATATTAACACGCTTGCGGGCCACACGCTGCTCGTTCAAGCACCTATCAATAGTGATATGGACACTGCAATAGATATTGGCATACGCTATGAGATGTCAACACATTATTCATATAATATGTGTATTATTTTAATTGCATATTACCGTATCCGTATAGTATACTCACTCGTATAGATTATCTATTAATGTTTTCACAGCTCATGCTATGTATGTCAGATGACAATTTTTATTAGCATATCAGTGCAAAACAGTTTTAATACAATAGTGTTACAAACCAAAGACAATTACAGCATAATTAGTGGAATACATTTTAATAAACAATACATTTTAGCATTAAAAGGCGTCGTTTATACGAATGATTCCGTAACGGTTGTCCGTGTGTGTAGTGATCTAAGTAAGTGTCAAAGAAAAATATTCCTATGACGGTGAAGTGAAGGCGCGTGGCTTATTTGTGACAAATGTTTGGAATAGTCGTCGAATTCAAAGACTTAATGGTACTATGTGTACAAATAAGCCGTGTGGTGACGTCTATTTGTCGTTTTATTTCCACCCTCGTCGTGGAAACAATACGTCGAAACATCGACGATTGCCATACAAATGCAGCGCAAACATTAGTAATGCCCATTATGTTTTGTTTGTCTTCGAGGACACCTTACGAAGTAGTCGCGCATTTTTTTTGCATGGTACGTCAGTCGCGTGTTTCGTTACGTCACTCGAGGGAAGGTAGTTTTCATAGTCGATTCTATTTTTTAGGACTTCTGGACCAATAGAAATCGGCAAATGATATTTTACTGAATTCTATTGCAATTGTGATTAATTTTCCTAAAAACTACTACAGGTAGCGTAGATGTATGTATTTAATCTGCAGAATTGCTACGGCAGGGTTGTTGCCAATTTTTGGAAGCAATATTTTTTGACATTGCTATGTGACATTTGTTTCCAAAATCAAGCAGATTTACCATAGTCAAACTGTATGTAGATAATCCAAAGTATGTGTATAGTAAGGCGCTAGGGGACGCGCTGGATAAGATTTGTGTTCGAGTTCCGTATTGTACAGTATGGAGCGTACACAACTATTAACTGTGTAAATATTTTCCTGATTTTATCAGATGTGTCTTACTCCCAAATTGAATCGTTAAAATAAACGATATTTCCGTCTCACTCACGTTTAACACCATGGTTTTTAAATGCTTTTATTAGTCATAATGACTAATTCTTATTACCCCATTTTTAGGGTTCCGTATTCACGGTGGCCAATCCTAGAATGGATGTCGCAGGCAAGCCATCATAATATAAATAGATCATTCTTGATTGAGACACATCTGTATGTATAGCACTTAGAAGATAATAAATGTGAAAAAAGATAAAACTCTTAAAAAAAAAACACGACGCAACAGAAATATGGATTGAATGTGTACATACTTCATCCAATTTAATTATTGCGTGATGTAGTTCCTTGATAGTTGTAAAATAGTTTAAGCGGACTCTGTTATAACGATTTCGGTAACAAAAACATTTTAGATCGTATTAAAAACGTACTTTGGAATTCTATTGATTATTACCTGTTGTCCATAATGTTATTTGAATATTATGAAAATAAAATTTTCATTAGAACTTCTTTACTTGAAAATTCTTTGTAACGGAGTCTGATTGGGCATCTTTTGTTTGCGGATGAGTCAGGAAGAAGACGAAATTATTAGTGTAAAAAATTTGGAGCTCGTATGCAACGCGACGTCGCTCCATGCGTACACCGCGCGTGTATCGTTTAATACTCGGCTTAGACAAATTGCCAGGAAACACACGGGTATATACAGGGTGGAATTTTGTAATGCCACCTGGAGGGAAAGTACTCTTAATACTGTAGATAGAAAATTTTACTCAAAGGAAACATTCCTTTATTTTTGAAAAGAAATAGAATTGCATTCAAAGATTTCTAAAAATTTGTTTGCCACACCCGGGAATCGAACCACTAAAATTTGTTAAAAATTACACCCTGTATTTTTATTGCATCGATCGTTAGGGTTAAGTATAAGGATGAAATCTCTTCATCAAACTTGATAAATCAAATGAAAGGAAAACCATGAAATCTTGAGTTATTTTCATTATGTACAGAAAATTGTATGGTAAAGAGAATTTTCTAAAAATTTTCAAAAACCTTTGAATGCAGTTCTCTTTCTTTTCAAAAATAAAGGAATGTTTTCTTTCAGTAAAATCTTCTATCTACAGTATTAAGAGTACTTTCCCTCCAGGTGGCATTACAAAATTCCACCCTGTATACAGGCATTGTATCTACTGTGCGAACCCCCTTTCAAGACTTGTGGGTCGTAATTAGAGTTACGGCTCAACAGACGTAAGACTGAAGAGCCCGGGATTGTGCCCAAATAAATAAGAACCAATTTTAGGCTTTCATTGATTCAACATATTCGGACAATAAAAAGATGCGAAGACTTTCGACGACTGTATCACTTGCGTTGGTGCTGCTAGATTTTAGAGACAAAATTACCTATCAAAATGTATGAATTTCGGTTCACAAAAAAGTTGAAATTGATTCGCGGCACCAACGACTAATTTTATCGAGACTTAACTTATAGTGAATGTTTTATCTAATCGAAGGAATGTATGCATGGTCTTTAGTAATATAAATATTGTTCTATGTTCGATGTTAGGATAAGGGGCATAGTGGTAAGATGAAAAGTAGTGAATAGATTTCTTGAGCGAATAAAGACACTACGTCTTGATGAATACAACAGTGAGTAGAACGCAAGCACCCAGCGCCTCGCTAGTCTGTTTTGACGTCGCTGACTGCATTTGTTAACCACTCTTGTTCCTCTTTCCACTACTGCGGCACCACCTGTGCGACAAGAAATATGTGAACTTGTTTCACGTAGTCTTGTATAACTTGATAATTAACATTAACTGGCCTATAATCTAAGTAATCTTTATCGTCTGATTATTGGATTACAAAAATACAGCTATTTATTACATTTCTGTGAACTGTATTTTGGACGATTCTTTTTAAAATTATTAATTATATTAATCATGTCTCGCACTAAATTTCAATGTGTAATTTTTTCGTCAGTTCATGGTCTTAACAATATAGGTGTAATTCATATACTTACATTATATCCTTAATATTGGTGTTGAATGTAAATTTAAATATTCAATATTCTTGCTGTTTAATTAAAGTAAGAAGTGCTTCATACCAAAGCTATCTGTTCCTTAAATATTTAATTTTCATTGGAATTCACTCGTGATAATTTGTCCACTTACGCATAATTTCATAGAAAAAGCCTATTACTTTTTTGTTTGCTAAACTAAATACCATACATGTTGTACAATAGGAAACATTTCTTAGCAAATATTGTATCTTAAGTTGGATGTATTCAATTCACGCTTATATCGATGTGCGAATAATTTTCATACAATCTCAAATAAAATATATTTCCTATTTGTGAAGCTTCATATAAGAATTCAATGTCCATAATATAGATATTAAATATTATCTACCGCTTAGTTTATACGAGTGATCCCTTGTAATATTAGAAGTGAAATAGTTACTTTACGCCTCCCGTAAATGAATCGCCGCGCCGTCGCGTCTTCAACATTTTAATAATTTTCACTGTGTTTAATTCAGTTTATGATGGCAACAAAATTATTATACACTTTGTTTTTCTACACAAAGTACTTAGCATGCGGGTAGAAAATGGTGCGATGTATAAGAGTACAGTTAGGATCATAAAATCACCTTTTGTATTCATGCACAAATTATCCAATTAGTGCCGTCTTTTTAGCGTATAATAATTTAATTAAGTTTAAAGTCTTATATTTTTTTACATTTTGGTTTAGTTTAAGCTACATTGTAAGAGGTTACTTTTTTACATTTTAAAAGTGATGAATGATTCATCACTAACTCTTAACAATGTATATTTACGTTGATATACATTTTTAAATAAAATGTTGGGATTTTTTTTAGTGCGCATTGAAGCATCATAGTGACACTGCAATATCTCTGTAGTCGTTTAGAACCTAGTCTGCAATTTTTTCAGTAAGAAAACGACTTTTCATACAGAATAGAATCTTGATAGTTAATAGAATCTTGACTGAAAAAATACCCATAATTTCGCTGCACTTGCTATTCTGTGTGCCTACCATGAGTTTACGTTAGGTGAGCTCGCTAGCGAATACGTCAAAAAATTCTATGAAGATCATATTTCTTGAAAGTAGCCACTAGGGGCGCTGCACAATATGTCATACATTTAAATGTCATTTTTTTACGCAGTCGCTAGCGAGCACACCTAACGTAAACTCATGGTAGGCACACTGATATATTTAAAACGAGAAAAGATTTTCAAGCAAGTCTTGGCACAAAATGAATAAGTTGTTTATTCTTTTCCGACTAAAAACTGATAGTTTGTCATTGAGCAGTGAAGCTTTTAAAAATAAAGTAAAGCGCGAACAACATTTGTTAATATTTTAACTTCACCACTGCTTCTGAAAAATAGAACGAGACGACAGACGACTCGTGATGTAAATAAAGTAATTTGTTTTTAAACTTTTAAAAAATCATTCTCGTCCCAATAAAATGTACGGAGATATTGCTGTGTTGTATGATTATTTACAGTTCGATTGCAGATTGGATTTAGTTTAACTTGTCTGATATACCTATGATATCTATTTAGTTTAACTTATTAATGTCATTCAACACATACATATCGTATAATTTTTCTCGTTAGAGATCAAATCTTATTTTTTTTCAATGCAATGTCATATTTTAAAAAAATGTGTTTGTGTTATGGTTCTTAGGTTTTCTATTAATAGTTTAGAAAAGTTGTTCCCAAATATTAAAAAGATCGAATAATTTCACGTATCTTCTCTTGCCGCTCATGGCAGTTATACCAGTTACTTTTGACACTGAGGGTGCCATTGACGCTGGAGTTCAAATCGATGCAGTTTACACTGACTTCAGCGAGGCATTCGACACTGTTGTTCATTCATCATTACATTACATATGTATGTACTTATTTAAAAACAACAGTTACATGCAGTGTCGGGTCCCTTGCTGAGTTAGTTTAGGTTTAACTTTTCAATGGGAGATGGAAAATAAATGTACCGTAGTGATATATCTCGTCTTCAATTTTTGCAAAACGCTCGTCTCCTAAACTCATATCAAAATGACCACAAGACTGTTATGAATAGTGCCAAAATTATGAACACACGTGTGTTTTAAAGTCAGTCCAATCTGCAATCGAATTTAAAGGATATTATTTTAAGATAACCTAGTTTAAGGCCAATATAAACTTGTAATGAAGTGATCTCAGTCGATTGTGCTGGTGATGGTGACCTCGGTCTCCGAAGTCGAGCGCGTGGTCTTAATGGAAGGTATACCGAACCACACTCGACATCGGAATTCCTAGGTAATGTAAGGAAAGTTGAAAGAAAAGTTAGGGAACTGTATGATACGGCGACGTTTGACATCTTCGACACAGAACAGCAATTTGTACAATTAGTTAATCCTAAGGTATACCTACCTCTTTTTTATTTGACATTAAAATCATGTGGAACGTTTTTTTTTAATCTATTTGTTCTTTATTTTACTTGTTATAAGTTTGCATAGTACTTACGATATTACGTAGGAGTCCTGTGTCGCAGGTAGTGATCAAGCCGTCTCATAATAAAATTGACTGATTGTGTGTAATTAACTAGATGTAACACCTGTGCACCCATTTATGTTTCAATGTGGTAACTGCATTTATTGTTAAATCTTTACAGTCAATTAGGACAGGCTATAAGACCCTTGAATAAATTACATCTGGAAATTAAGTCTTTTATTTTGGTTCCTAGACGTTTCCATTAGGGTGTCCCAAAAAATCAGTCTTTTTTTTCAACACAAACCCTCTAATTAGGTTTAAATGGTGTCTTGGTGGAAACCGGGCGTAGCACACAACACGTTCCACTTTTATAGATCCAACGTTCGTAAATGATTATAATACATTAGGTTGCCAAACATTGCATTCGATGACTGATGGTGAGGTTACTGACAGTGGATGAAGGACTGGAGGCGTATATTCAGCGGGGGCAGGAGTGTCTTTAAACTATACTGTCGTGTATTATTAATACTCATTACAAGGTAGGTATACCACACAGATAATACTGTATTGTACTATGACTATGATACATAATAGTAAGTAATAAATCGACTGATCTTTAAAAAATCATGAGTTTTACTTAAGTACCACTAATACCGTAGTGGTTTCCCTAAGTACCCAAAGGGCGAAGAAGCGTGCTATGCTCGGAGCTTCCCTGCGTGATCGAATCAAAAATGAGCCAGGAGTACCAAAGTGACCGACAGTAGCAGAGCTGACGGCCCGC